TAGAGGACGCGACTTTTCATTTTAGGTCAGAAAATAGGTTTGTAGATCTATCAGTTTTTGAATGACTATTTTTCATTCAATTTTAAAGATCGACCACGCTGCGAGAAAAGTCTTTATAGGTCTTTAAAATTATGTATATTGTCAGACTTGGATTGTTGGGAGGTTTCATCGGGCAAATAAGAAAAAAAAAAACATTTTTTTTTTGTAATTTTTAAAATTTTTACAATTGCTAATTTCCACAATTTCAAAGTATGTAGTACTATCTAAAATTAAATTTATTTTCAGATAAATTGATACATCATTTATTGCAATCGCACAAAAATTGTCGAATTTAGGCAACTTTTCTTATTATTGCGATTGCAATAAATGATGTAACAATTTATTTGAAAATAAATTTGATTTTACATAGTAATACATTTTTTGAAATAGTAGAAATTAGCGATGGTCGAAATTTTAAAAATTAAGAAACAATTTTTTTTTTTGTTATTTGCCCGATGAAAATTCCCAACAATCCAAGTCTGACAATAAATTATTATACATCGTTTTAAAGGCCTATAAATCCTCTTTTCACGACATGTTCGATCTTCAGAATTGAATGAAAAATAGTCATTCAAAAAGTGATAAATCTACAAAACCGTATTTTCTGACCTAAAATAACAAGTCGCGACCTCTAAATGATTTATAAAGAATCTGCAAAAATAGGCAATAATATTTCTCATAGAAAGGAGGAAAACTTGGTGGTAGTGTTTTAAAATTTCAAAAAAAAAAATCGGTGGGCACCCTAATGTGTACGTACACACACATATATGTACATGCATAAGTACACATGCAAATACATATACATCGTATACAAACATGCATCTATACTTATGTGCATATTTATGTATGTACCAGTATATGTAAATAAAAATTAAAAAATTAATTTATATTTATGTATATACGTACATAAATACAAAATACATAGGTGCATACAAACATATGTATGAATGTAAATACTCTATTGTTTGTCTGCTTATTTATGAAGCCACTGATGAATAATAATATCTCTATTCTTCAATTGTTCATTTACATTCCCATATCGTCTCGGAATAATCTTAATTAAGCATGCATGCCTAGACGACAAAAAAAAAATAAAAAATAAAAAAGGAATTTTTCTTGGTATAAAAGATGTGTATTAAAAATTCAGAGTGAGCAAAAGAGCATGCGTACATACTTTGTACATATTTGCAAAAATCATGTAGTTTTGAGGATTTATGCTGCATTTCTTAAAGTTTCTAAATATACATATATACGAACATACTTATATATTAGAGGGCTGCATGAATTCATTCAAAATGGCATCGAATGAATGATTTTGGCTTAAAATTTTTTTGAATTTGAGTGAATACTGCTCTGGTATGTGTGTCGTCATAACAATATTCAAACAATGTGAACATAAATTGAATTGAAATAGTAAAACATCTATTAAAATACGAACAAACTTGTTTGTAGAAAATCTATAACCAAAATGGGTTTGAATGCTTTTCATTCACATACTCCCATTTGAAGGTAGAAAATTTAAAACAAAATGTATATTCATAAATTACAAAGTTCAAAACGCTGAAGAAGAGTATTAGAAATCTATTGTACTCTGTTTGACTAGAAGTTTGAATCAACTCATGCAGAGGTCTATTACATATACATATGTATGAACATTGTGCATATATTTATGTATACAGTGCGTTAAGAAATGAAAGCCACTGCTACTTTGTAGCTGAAAAGTTTTGAAACTTTATGGGAGTAATGTTTGCACATTTTTACATCTCTTTGCCAGTGTGACCACGTTAGCCTTATTAAGGCTAAATTTAGCACTTAATTTTAAGCCATAGCCTCAGTTTTTTCGGTCTGACTTCGTGGCTTTTTTTCTAGCCTTTTTTACTTAAACTATTCATAGTAATATTCGGCCCGGAACTTATAAAAGTAATTACCATATTAAAAATACTTAATGTTTCAAAAACTTCTGTTTACTGTTCACATATTACAATAACAGAGAATGGTACCATTTCCTTGAGAAACTTACTTCTTTAGATTAAAAAAAAAAAAAAAATTGAAATTGAATTGAAATTGAACTCCATTTTGCATAAAGTGAAGTGATGTTATTAACCTGAAAGATATTATTTTGTATTTTGATGGGAATGATTTAAAAATTGATTTAAATAAAATCGGTTTCGCGGAAGTTATCAAGTTGGCGAAGACTTTTAAACTTCATTTTTCACAGGGTATTACTTTTTCTAACCTTTTTTCAAAACAAATTTAGCCCCGCTTTTTGTGATAATCTGGCCACACTGCTCTTTACAAACCGATGACGATGTTCACATAGCTTCGTGATCGACTGGAGGATCGTAATGAACGAAATGAGAATAGCATTAAAGCTCCCCGCAGGAGATAGTATACCAACTGAGCTGTACAAAATGGGCGAAGAAGCGCTGCGCGAAGATTATAGTCTCAGTGGCCTTTGGCTAATCCACAAAAAGTGTGATCTCGCTGTTTTGCGCAAATTACATCCGGATAAGCCGTCTTAAAATTGAATATTTATAAGAGCCTATCGACGATACCGTGTGAAAGACTGATTATGCCTTTTAGGTGTAGCTGAGTGCCTGGAAAATCTACCATTGGCTATTCCTGGAAGACCCTATTTAAAATCCCCAGAATAGCATGCGTAGACGGAAATCATAGTTTTTTACAATAGGGCTGTTCAGGAACTTGAATGTAGAGTTAAGCAATGTTGCCGTTTTGATCCATTCGGATCGAAATGGATACTTTTTGCGACGAATTTTGAGTGGATACTTTTTTTGTTCCCAGTACAAATTCGGATACCTTTCTAAAGGCCAGTATGCAGCTCTCAAGAAAACCAAAAACTCCATATAAAATGACGTACAAGCAATGGCTAAGAAATTTTCTTGTGTCAAACGCAGCACTCAGTTCTTAAGAAATTTGATACGCTTTCTAATACGGGTTTCTAAAGTTTTTTGTGAAAAAATATCACAAGGCAACCCATGCTTGCAACAGAAATATATGCCCGTTCATTATTTCTTGAGGAAAGGGTGAGCCAACAGGCTGGTGAAGTAACCTCTTCAATTCGACTTTTCAAACAGGCGACCCTCCTTCATGGAGCTAAAAAATACAGTTTATTGAAAACCATTTCTTTTGATACCCATATTGGGATAATTCATTTAACTTAATAGATAATTTGATTTGATTTTCTTATATATAGCAACCCTTTAAAAAACCAAAACCATACTGCACATGTACAGGTCAAGCCCTTTAATTTGACACCTCATTTTTGAAAATCGAACGAACGATACAGATTTTATGATATGGTGTTAAACATTTCTCGCAACCATCTCCGAACTCGATTAAGGAGTTTCACTTCAACACTTCAAAAACGTGGATACTTGTTAGGCTAAATTTTGGGATACTTTTTTTTGGGAGGCTGCAGCGACTCTGGAGTTAAGTCTCATAAAAAAATTCAAACTTGGTTTCCCAACACTTTGATTTTTACACATTCATGTTTCTGGCAAAAAGGGGACGATATGATCACACTTTAAGAAGACGCCATAAATAGCATTATGATTACAGTTTATCAGACAAAGACACAAACAACGCAGATGATAAGCCTTTAAACAAGCCAAGTTGAAGTTAAGGCAACGTCGGAGTCGAAAGGATAAGTACTCTGCTCAGACAGTCAAATATCCAATCTTTCTAATAGGAGAATAAACTTCAAACTTGCTTTGGATTGGTTCCGAAAATATCTACCACAAACTTCGGTTATCCTTTAGCTAAAAGGTGCAGTAGTCTCTTAAATATTGCAGATATTGGATATTTAATAAATTAAAATAAATTATTAGGGCAACAGTGAGTACCTTGAGTATTCAGGGTTAGGAATTCGTCTACGGGTCGCAGTATTCCTTATATGTACTAAAATACTTAACTAAACGTTTATCTGGTTCCGTGGAGATTCGTTATATCGAAGTTTGACTGCACAAGGGCATCGGCGCATAGGGATGCATACTAAGGAAAATCTGTCAGTTCAAAGTATTTAAAATTTACATATATTTATATATGTACATGTTTATGCCACTTCATACTCATAGATAAACCAGTATGCATATCAATGTACATACATACATACATACATATGCATACTTACTCGTATATACTTGGATATACATATTTGCAGTATGGAAATGGGTGCATGCAAAGTGACTTGGGTGTGGATGTTTACAAACTTTTAAATGTACTTATACTCGTACATAGAAACCGTGCATATTTACATATATATCTACATACAAGCATATATGGCGTGGAGTTATTTAGTACATGACACATCAAACAAATATTTGTGCTGTTAGTTTTAATTAATTAAACCACTCAACAAAGGGCAAGGCGCTGCAAGGCGATTGGGTTACAGATGCTAATTACTTTTACTTGCGTCGAACATCGCTTTACCTATACTGAGCTGGCACAGACTCACAAATATTTATGTTAACATTGGAAATTCATGGAAAATTCACTTCAGACAACACGAACAACTTGTAAACTACCAAAAGTGAAAAAAGTGAAATTGAGCGCAAAACGCGAACAACGGCGCTCCAGACCAGAGGCGAACGCGCCCGCTTTGACGGCGTCGCGCATAACCACGATATATACCTGTGAACATATTTACATACATACAAAGATCTACAAGTTAGTTTTACTTTTACTACAAACTTATGCACACATATTAAGGTACATAAATGAATTGGCTGTGTGCATGGATACATTGTACATATGTATGTAGTACATACACACGCAAGCCGGCAAAACAACTTTTACTGCCGCAGCAGCCTAGCAAATCTACTTGTTGCAGCTGCTAATGGTCCAAGTGTCAAGGTGTTGGGCGGCTGCGGTGGCTAAGACGGCAAGTGCACATACGTATATACATACATACATACATACACAGAAAGCGAGTGCAAATTTACCTGCGACAGATTGTTGCATTGGTTGCATGGCCGGGTGCAGATTTGCCTGCATGGCAGTGGATTCTTGTTTCGGCTGCTCTTGCGATTGAGAAGCTGCTGACTCCTTACTTGGCGGTGCGGCTGACGTCGTCGTACTTTTCACGTTCGAGCTGCCATTCGTAATGGTATCGGCGGGCACCGATTCCTTAGCCACGACTATCACTGCACTGGGCGCTGCTGTACCTGCGGCTGCTGCAGCATTAGCGGGGGTGGCGGCAGCGGCGCTTACGCTTTCCACATTGTCGCTGGCACCAACATTTTCCACTTTGTTGCCGATTTCGATATCTTTATGGTTTTCGGACGGCATGATTTCTATAATTTCCACTTAATTCGATTTATTAACTTTTTTGTTTTTTGTACTTTTTTAATTTTATTTTTCTTTCGTTTTTACTTCGTGTTTTGTGCAACGCTTATGCTTTGTGTGTCGCACGCAATTCTGCACTGCACACTAAATGCCAACAATACAGTAATGCAACTACAACAAAAAAACACGTATTAAAACAATAACAATTAACTAAGCGTGTACATATATATATATAGCAATTAATGCGCCTTCTGTTTTTGCTTAGTTTTCTTTTCTTTTTTTTTTTTGCCTGTTTACGCTGTTCACTAAAATTAACACTCGCAATGCAGGTAATCGATTTAAAAATTAACTGTGAAAATTACTACATTTGAGCTGTTCAAAGTGTTGCTAAGAAAAATACGAAAAACTATGACAGCGTAGACTGCTACGCGCACCAACACCACGTTTTGATGGTTTTCCAGCGACTGAATCGCTGTTTAGACCTGAAGCTCGCACAAGCCAAAAGCGGTAGCCGCCAACAGCACAAACTACTGGCCGTCTACCTGCCATTATATAGGTATGTATTAGGTATGTTAATTTTTCGGCTTTTTCCGATCCCGGCATTTGCGGGATGGCGTTGTCACAATGCCGGCATCTCGGGATTAGTCCCGGGATTTAGATATACATTACTTTTCAACAACTTGAATCGAAAAATTTGCTTGTATATTGTTTGAGAAGCTCTCCTTCCATGAAATAAATAAATAAAAATAAATGGGTTTGAAACCTACTTTTTTATTTAAAGTGGCGTTTTTATTTTTTCCCTCTTACAGCGGGATTTATTTTGAAGGACTTTGTAATTTCAAAGATATGATTAATTCCAAAAAATTTTAAAAAAATTCAATACAATATAGAATAAAAATATGGGTAACAAATGCAATGTAAATTTCTTTAGAATTTAAAAAATTTTAATTTTTTGGATTCACAAGGACGAATAGGTAATTTTTAAGCTGTCAAAGTTAGAAGAACGAAACTCGAGGATGTTATCGAGTTTATATAAGCCCTTAACATATAATTTTTTCAAAAACAAATATTGCGAAATTTCAAGGATAAAATTTTAAAATGACAATTTCAATATTTACCAGCCCTTCTGCACCAGAAACTTAAATATGTTTAAATTCTACAGGATTTGCTCATTAATTTTATACCCATACTTCTTCTCTGAACACATTTCTCTGAATTTTTTAAAATATTTTTAAATTACTGATGTCAGAGTGAAAAACTAAAAACGCAATTTTACTATATTTGCCCCATGGTTTCGCGAATATATTGATATTTGTGTTTAAAATTTACTATCGCGCGGTGTTATATGTATGTAGAATGAGCTAGACATTTATAAAAAAAATATTAATTATTAAATAAAAAAGAAATATAGCCAATACTGGTCAAGGAAAAGAGTTTCTATTTTTGCCATCAGTGCAAATTACAAATCCCGAAAATCCCGGGATTATTTGCCAACAATCCCGGATTTTCGAGACCTTAAAAAGTCCGGGATCCCGGGATTAACATTCCTAGTATGTATGTACCTTTGGTAAAGACAGTGTCGCAAAAATCGAAACGCTGTTAATCTCAACGCTAAATGAAATCGAAATGAATAGAATTTTGAGCTTAGATGGTGTTTTACTCTCCAAGTTTATCCATCCACATAAAACATCGATTATTTACTTCCAACAAAATCATTAAATTTGGTCATTTTTCTAACATTCACCAGTATATTTTAACCAAATATAGGGCTGTTTGTGAGCTCGAAAATATGTATGTGTGTATTTATGTAACTCGAAAAGTTTCGCTTGATAAATAAAAACGACTTTTTCCGAAATGTATATACCCGCATTGGATGGCATGAGGAGCCCCAAAATTGTAAGGACCTGTGTGTCTTTCGATTTCGGTAAGTTTATCGAACTTAATCAGGCAGGTTCTGTAATTCACTCCCGAGAGAAATTAAGTCGAATTCGCGTTAAATTCAAATTGGCAGGGGTTGAAATTCACTCGGAAGTGAATTGCAGACCCTGCCGGAAAATATGTCCAGCTGTTCCGGTAATAAGATCAACGGAAATAAAGTCAATTGACATTATTACCTTTTCAAAGAAAATTTTATAGAGGGTTGCCACCTGTATGCAATTTTTAATTTAATTTAATTAATAAGATAAATTAAATATTGCAATATGGGCATCAAACTAAAGAGGTTTTGAGGTTTGAAAAATCTTATTCATTTAATTTGATAAAATAAAAGAAATATTACAATTCTGATGTTAAACTACATGAAGAAGTTTAAGAAAGTTTACTGTCGAAGACATTTCTTAAGCGGATTGCCACCTATCTGAAAAAATTTAATTCAGTTAAATTAATAAGATAAGTATTGAATTAGTACACCTTTGAAGAAAGTGCGCGATATGTAGATCTCGGTCTAACTCCTTCTTTTTTTGTTCGTCTGCCCTCTCGTTGCCTTCTGTATTCCTATGGCCGGGAACCCAAACAAGATAGATGGACATTGACGGAGACGCCGAGCGTAGTTCCATCTTGCATTCATTGACTAGCTTGGAATTGGTTACAGTAGATGAAATAGCCAGGAGTGTTGCCGAGCTATCTGAGTAAATAACCGCGCTTTCTTTCCTGGTAGCACTATTATTTATTACACTTCGCGTGCTGCAGATTTATTTGAACTATCTTACTGGTCCGATTCATCGCTCAGTTTAACTCCCATGAGGAGCTCACCTGCACCGTCGATATCCGGATTCTCTTCCTCTCAGCTAGCTTCACCAAGTATTTCCCTTATATTGGCTTTTCTGATGCCGAACCGAATTTTCTTGTCGGCCTTTGCCAGGGCTCCAATGATTCTGGGCAAATCGCGAGGAGAATTGGCTTATTGGTGGGCTTCCTCGGCTCTTTGACTTTGATAAGCTCCCACTTGCCTATTGCCGGGATGTTCTTATTCTGCAGCTTTATGCACCGTAGAAACTTAGGGACTCCGACGAGTCAAACTCTGGGTAAGGACGGTCAGGGTTGGCGAGGACGTAATGCCTTACTAAACTCGACAGCCTCACATCAATCTCAACCCATTTTTGCTGCACTGCTAGCGGCGTTCTTCTACCTTCGTCGATAATAGAAGCCTGAAGGTGGTCTCTTGCAACATCGCTAAAGTAACTTTGCTTAGTGGACGTTGCGGACTCCGCTACACTCCCTTGCTTCCGAGCGATTTCTTTTTTGAGCTTCCCTAGCTACCATGGTGACAGTACGTTCCTCCATGCCCCTGAGTTTATCTTCCTCATCGCACCCGTCTTCACATCCGGCTGCTGCATGTGCTTTTCCGGCTAGGTACCGGCCGCGTTCTTGCTGCATGTTGGCTTTTTTTCGGTGTACTATGGCACTATCCGCACTAGAATTATCTAATTGCAAAAGGGCGGTACTATGACCGGCACCTTCCGTTTTACTGCTGCTTCCAGCTTTTCCTGCTGAGGTGATATGGCTTGCACCAACAGAGGAAATAGCTGTAGGGTTCGTTGCTTTATCAGCGGATTTCAGGAGCTGTTCCTTCTCTGGCAACGTCACACCTTCGCCGGGTTTTCGTTGTTGCTCTTGCTGTTTTTGTTATTAGTTGTTTCCATTTTTGATCCTACGGGTAGTCCGCAGCGCCGGGATGCATAGAGAAGGCACTTCCACAACCGACCTTGCTCGGGCATAGGAGGGGACCGTTAGCGACCAGACACTTTTTACTACGCACTGGCCATTCATCCATCAGCACGGGTGCCTTAAGCTGCGCCGCCACGGCAAGATTACCAATGTTGAGGAAGCTAGATACTGGGTGCAAGTAAAACTGTTCTGTCCAATTTGAATAGGATGTCCCGACCATGCTAACCACCTCTTCACACGCCCAATCACATCAGCTCATCGAACAACCCACTCCCTACGGCCCACAACCATCGGAATTGGCCTTTTCCAGAGCCTGCCGGTAGATGAGAATGAAGATAGCATTTAGTCGATTCACTGATTTAGGCAGAGTTTAGTACGCTGCTACAACAAACCAAAACGGTGAAAGATTTTCGTCCACGCTTCTTTTAAGACATAAACTTATTAAAAATATAATTTTTCAATTTTCAATAAAATAAGTATTTAGAGTTTTTGGATTGTGGTATATAAATAAACTTGTTGAAAACCGGGTTTATTCGATTGTAAAAATCCGAATTACTCGGTATTCGAAAAATCAAGAGTTCAAACAACCGCCTAAAAATATTCGAAGAAAACACGCTATAAACCCGTTTGGAACAAGCGAATCAGTGTACGGAGTGAAATGCTTTAAAAAATATATAATTTGAACCCACTAAGGGCGTTGTTATGCTGGCGGTCAGCGGGCAAAAAATTGATCAGCCCACTGATACCGAATCAGTGACCAAAAAAGGGTTGGCTTATGAATATAATTTTTAGCAAACAAAGAGTCTTCACTTATTGGAACAAAACTGACTGATGGCAGATATAACTTCACGGAAGGGCTTTGTTAACCTAGGATCCAGCACAAGCACTACCAATAATGTCAACCTGGACACCAAGCAGAGAACAACCTTTGCAAAAATTGCTTCTTTAGAATCGGTAGAAAATTGAATAGCAGATCCCTCTATCGACGAACAAAAACTATGCTCTACAAATCTCTCATCATGCTCAGCCCTTTATAATAGTGCATTCCCACTTAATCGACCTCGAATACGCGTATACGTGTTTTCACCACACCTAGACATTTGCCGGTCACAGGTAATATTTAAAACTGCATTCCTTGTAATAATTTTGTTTATTTTTACTTTTTTATTTATGCTAAATTGTTTATAAGCACTTTACTCACGTTTATTTACTTTTGCTTATACAGAACATTATGACACTTCATCTTTTTGGTATTAAAAGATCTGTTCGTTTTATAAAAGTGATGACTTCAATAGAAATTCTTTAAAATCTGATTAAAATACAAAAGAAAATTTATTGAAAATCCTCCTAGATATCGAAAGATTTCCGAAATCTCAGATTTCATAGCTGTAGGAATGCACTATAAAGCGCGAAAACGTGGACGTTATCAAATAAAGATGAAAACGCTTCACAGAGTTTCGCGTGGGTGATGGGTACCGAAGAAGTTGGAATGGCGAACTGTAAAT